CGCATGAGAGTTGTGATAAGGGACATGTTGGTAAACCATTGCGATGACAATCGTCAGAACAAGCTCTATATAATCAGGCCCTAAGCGATTGCTATACCGCCCTGGCATCAGTAAGACCTCCGTAAACCCTGAACGCAACCCTGAACCTCAAGTCCTGAATCCTATGCGACCCTGCCATGAACCCGAAACTTCACCCTGATACCCCTCAAATGTGTCGTCAGATTCGGCCCAAGTCCAGGCACAAAACAACTTCAATAGGCCCGTTAGATCTCACTAGACTCATTAGACATTATGTTTTGTAGACAAATCCAGCTCATGATCAGGCTGTAGGCTTCGGCTTCTCCGTGTGGAAGTCAACCCTCCCAAATCTCTCCGCAACGCTTCCCGCCCCAAACCCTCAAAGATGCCCCGATGAGTGAGCCATTGCAGGGGTCATTTCAATCATGCAGCAGGTGGTTACCATATCCTCATGTCTTCACTGTGTTCCAACGTTTAAAGTTTAAAGGATCTGTTCCTGAAGACGGCTTCAAGTCCTCCGTGGCTTCTTGTGCATGTGTTTAAGTGGTTTGAAGGGTTTGCTTTCCGCACGAGAGTTTCTGCTGCCACTGCCAGGAGATGACTGAAAGTGCCTTGGCCGAAGCTAATCTGGAGGAACCATGTCGTCCTGTCGTCGGAAGAATGCACACCACGGCTCAGAAAGTCGGAGTCGAGCGCAGGGCTCAGGGTACGAAGCGCAGCATGCGCAACATGCAATTGCTCCTCCACGTGCCCTTCCTTGCTGCCGCGCAAAAGGCTACATGCGAGAGGCACAGCGCGAGATGAACGCGGCCCGGCAAACGCTGCAGCAGCTCGGCAGGATTAGGCCCTCTCAACATGCTCCGGGACGTCTCCTTCTTGAAGGCCTTTGTGGGTTTGCCACCCGGCTGCCGGCTCAACTTATCCTACACAATGTCAACCACGACATCCCGGGTTTCAACACATGCTCCATCCATGCAAAAGCAGGGTCATAAGTCGTAGCACTAGCCTAGCAGGCAGAGAAGTACCGCCTCAGGGCAAGCTAAGCCTTTGAAGGTCATGAGATTTCTGTGTCTTAAAGTCTTTCCGAGCACAGCATGCTGTCCGGACATAGCGAGCCAAAGCCAAGCGCTTCGGGTTAAGGGTGTAAGGGCTCAAGCTCGGGAAGGCATCGCATGGCCCCTTGCAGATCCCCGGAACCACACATGATCCAACCGTCGAAAGGATGCCCCATGTGCAGGGCTTGGCTGTGGGGCTTGTTGAGGGCTCATTCAAAGTATGTGTTTCAACCGCAAATTGCACAACTGCAACAGTCCAAACCCGGCCCGAAGCGTCAACAGTGCTTCTGTCTAACAATAGCTTTAATTAGGAAACTTAATCTTGCATGTCGGGATAATTGGAGGTTGTACTGTCTGAGGAGGTTGTACTTTCTACAGCCGTCCACACAATCAACTGGGTCGTGATTCTTAAATGGAGGACGTGAAAACAGCCCAGCACGAAAACGTGGCATGGTCGTTGGGCACGCAGAGCCAGACTGTTAAAAGTCCATAGAGCTCTTAATAAAGCCCGCTTATGCAAAAGAAGCTACAAGCCACAGCACTAGTTCCTGAACCTCAGCCAAAGACCAAACACTCTAGCGGCCGTAGCCTGCCCAAATCTCGCCTTCAGGATGCATGGTGCTGCTCAACGCGAGGCGCCTTTCTGAGCCCTTCTGTATAGCCTGAATGCTGCACCTTGAATCGTATAGTATCTCTGCATCCGCCCTGGCACGGGTTCAACTGAATATGTAGTTTTGGTATTAGGCTTTAGGGTCTTTGCGTCTTGGGGTCAGAGGGCGCAAGATGTTTATTTCAGAATTGATAGAGGCTTCGAAATAGAGGTGCATGGCTTAGAATTTAGGGCCTATTTAGAGCAGGTTCTTTCGGGCTTCAGGTGTAAGGTTCGGAGCTTCACACGCAATCCCAAGGGCTTCTAGAGAGAGGAAAGGCAGCCTTAACCCAACTCCAAAGAATTCTGAATGTCTTTAGATGCTGAGGCTTTTCGACGCTGAGCTCCTAAGCCAAGTCGAAACCCTGCAAAGCCAGCCCGGCCCCGATACAACGTGCCGACTCCTGTCATTCACAGGCTCTCTACACCATGTCACAGCTCCAGCCAGCAAAGCCGCGGAAGCCGCATACCAAGCCCTCGCAAGTCCCCTGGATTGCAGTCTACAGCCTGAAGGCTACACCTGCCGAACATAGGAGCCGCTACCAGCATCAGCGTTTTTTTTATAAGGAGAAAGCTCGAATTGTTTCTTCACCACCATCCCAATGCAGTACCCCATTCCCCCGAACCTGCCTCAACTGCTCAGGCTCCTAAGTCCTACTCTCATGCTGCTTAACCACGAAAGACCACTGAAGACATAGCTTTTAAAGAAGGTCACGCAATGCCACGCAATAGGCATCAGCAAGAGGCCTCCGGAGTACAATAGCAAACACAACAAGCTGATGAAGCCGCCGATATGTTTACGAAATCTTGTAAGCACAAGGCAGGCTCTATTCAAACCTACTGGTTCAAGCCTTCGCTTTTACTGCAAACCCTGAATGAAGACTGGGGTGCAACACGTGGTTTAGGGTTTGTAACGGCTTTTCGGCCTTCAGGTTCTAAGAGTTCGAGGGAGGGCTGTTGGAGAGGGTTTGGGGCTTCAGGGCTTTAGGTTCCTGTAAAATGCTTTAGCAAGCTTCTGGGCTTCATCTTTCAAGGGGCTTTGGGTTTAGGGCGCCAGGAGCCGGAGCTGGAATCACTCCTCCCAGCTGTGCAGAGCCGAGAGGTGCCTGGAAGCCCTCTTGGGTCTTTTAGTTCGTAGTTTAAAGGCTTTAGGGTGTGAGGGTTTTGGCGGTCCAGGCTTTTGAGGTTTAGGGCCTTGGGGTTTTGGGCTTTGGGGTCTATGATTTGGCGTTTAAGACGGGTCGCTTCAGCTTACGGCCTGCGATTGGGCGGCGTGCAGTGGGCGCAGGTTTCCCTAGTCGCACTGGTCGAAATTCCCCATCTGAGCTAGCTAGCCCTGCGTCTGGGAAGGGTTTGCGAGACTTGTGGCTTAGAGGATTTGATTCCCTGCAAGATGTTCCGAGTTGTCCAGAAAGACGGCTGTTAATCATCAAGCTTGGCAAGTCACAGCAGGAGTGTTTGTTCTGAGAATTAGCTTTGTCACAGAAGCCGATTCATTCGACATTGTTGGTCCAGGGCTTTGATATTTCGTGGATCTTATCTAGGACGAAGTCGTAATTAGCTCCCCGCTCCCAGTCCAGAAAGCCACATCAGCATCTCAGCGTCGAGTGTGTTTTTTGGGTTGGAGTGTGGCCCAAGCGACTATGAGTAGCGGATTTCGAGTTCTGCCATGTCCTGCCTGAAGCCAGGACACTACGTCCACGGCTCCGGGTACGACGTCGGATCAGGTCCGACCCTATAGGGAGTGCAAAGAAACCCCTGAGGGCCTGAACCCGAAACAACATGATAACATGCTCGAAACTCCAACCCCTCAGGCCCCCCAACCTAAACCCTGATCCCAAAACGGTGGCTTGTAGAAGCTGGGTGTACAGCACTTTTCCTTCACAGTCCCTGTATTGTGGTGCTTAGCACGGACAAAGTTTCGAATCCCCAAGTGAACGTTTGTCTACTTCCTTCACGTAACCCTGGAAGCCCTGAACCCGAAACGCGTAAACGAGCAAGAGGCCGCACAATGCTGAAAGTGCAGATATTGCGTGGGTTGTGGTCATGCTTCAGGGACGTTTAAAACAGTGTGTTGTAAATTGGAGGTCTTATCGCAATGTGCATGCACAACCCCCGAGTACTGTTAAGTTTGAGTTGAACCCAAAGCTGAAGCTTAAGATTTCGTAAACCCTAAAGTCCCATAAACCCTTAAACCCTAAAGCCAAAATCCAAGCGTCTTGCCCCTGTGGTCAGTGAGGACATGGCTCCAGTGCCTGCAGTGCCTGCAGAGGATGCAGATGCTAGCATGGTGTTGCTGGGGGAAAGTTCGTGCGGGGCCTCGGGTTGAAATGCCTATGTTATGCAGGACTGGAATAAGCAGCGCTGTCCGTTTTCTGTATTCAGCAGCCATTCGAACAGCCCGGCACACGGTGTGGTGACAGCGGGTGGCGGGTTGTATATTTCTCGGAAGTGGCCTCACATTGGGTTTGGAGTTCCGCCGAAGGGACAGTGGAGGGCGTCAGTAGCCAGATCAGGTTCTAGGGTGCGCACATACCGGTTTACAGATCATTTGTTGAGATTCAGTGAGACAAACCCTTCTAGACACCATGTAAGACCGCTGTCAGATCGACCTGCTTCTTCGCGAGGAGTGAGTGACCCGACCAGCTGGCATGCGGCTCCTATGCGCTGCCATGGATTGAAGATATTCTCAAGTTTAGGTTGACGGTGACATGTGGGCGGAGTCGAGTTTCCCGACATGTGACATAATCATTCAGATCACTTGAGGCGCTGTCATGCATCTAGGGATAGCGTAGTTGAGCAAATGTCTTGCGACCTAAAGGTATATTACGAATAGGCGCTGGCCCCTTGTATTTCAAGAAACATGACCCTGACATTCGTCAAGAGTCAACCACCACAAGCTCTCATCGCTATGGTCGTAGGTAGGTGGAATTCACAGAGGCATTCGCCGACCGACTGGTGTCTGGATTGCAGCAGTTTCCGCCATTCGAAGCTCACGCTTGGTCCACATGCCCTCTACCGATAAACTGCAAAATCTAGCGTTCCAACCATTTCCAACCCATAGCCCGCGATCAAATCTTTACCAGTTGGCAGAACAGCTTTCTGCGACTTTAGTGCTTAAGCCTTCCACCCCAAGCCCTGGCTGTGGACGCAACTCCAGCATGAGGTCGAGACTGTCAGTGCTCGTTAATTTCAAGGCCTTGTTCCTCTCAAGAGACCGCCCACTCAGATCGTCAGCTTGAAGAAAATCAAAAACAATTTGCAGTTCATTGACTAGCCGCTCTATTACGTGCACGAAGACTGCAACTTCGACATTAGCCTCCAAGACGCTGCGGCATGCCCATGAACACAAAGTTGTATGGTTGGGATGATGCTGATGGTGTTGATGCTGTTCATGATAACGACAAATGACGATGACAATGGCAATGACGATGAAGACAAATATCATGCAACCAGTTCTGGTGACTGAGTACAAGTACCAGTACCAGTACTAGTACTATCAGAACTATTACGACCACGACTACGACTACCAGTGCTGCTGCTGCTGCTGCTGCTGCTGCTCCTACTCCTGCTCCTGCTTCTGCTCCTGCCCCTACTCCTACTCCTACTCCAACTACTCCGACTCCTACTCCTGATGCTGATGCTTTTGGATGCTGATGCTTTTGCTAATGCTGCTGCTGATGCTGCTGCTGCTTCGACAACGACCACAATTGCTGCTGTTGTTCGTTTTCGTGCTGCGGCTGCTGCTGCGGCTGCTGCTGCTGCTGCCGCTGCTGCTGCTGCTTCTGCTTCTGCTACGGCCACGGTGATACTACTCTCCCGGCTGCTGCGACCGGTACAACCATCGACATCACTACGACTGCCATCACCTGTTCCAGTACTTCTGCTGCTGCTACTACTGCGGCTGCTCCTGCTACTGTTGCTCTGCCGTGACTACGACGACAGCACGTACCACCGCCAGAGCTACCCGGTCAGTAAAACGAGTTGGGGGCAGAGGGACCGGAGGCAGGAGGCACGATGACACAAGTCGATACTAGGTGATCGCTTTTCTGTTAGTCTGCGTTTGGCCGCAGCCACCTCTGCAGAAGCCATAGTTTTGTGGCTGCAGCCGGCAGCTACCTTAAAGGGTAGCACTCGCCTGCAACAGCCCCTGGCAATTCACAGGTGAGTGCTTCGCCTAGCCTAGCAGTCGGGCGCCATGGCTTTTCTGCTCTGTCTTGGGCTTCTGCTGACTGATTTGGTGACCCCGTTTGTCGGCGCGGCGAGCCCCAACCGCTGGAGCTCCGACTGTCTGCACGATTTGTTACTTGTAGGAACGTAAGGGAGCTGCTTTCAGGACCAAGATGAAGAGCTTTCGCTGCTGCTTCCAAGTCTGTTTCCAAGCCTGTACCTCTGAAGGCAGTGGTAATCGCCAGGTGAATGCTGGTTTCGGTTCTTCAATTCACAATTATCTTAACGGGAATTTCTTTGTGTTCCTCTAAGCCGGGGGTTACCAGGATACATTGTCACGAGGAGCTCCATGCCGAACCGCTGCGCCGCGGGCAGCAACTGCGTGGTGCCTGCAGAGGAGCACTGGCTCCTTGACTGGTCCCCACCCGAGCTTGCTTCGTTGACGATCCGGGGCAAGCTGGAGTGGGACAGAGGCATCTTGGTTCTATCCTGCGTTGGTTTTCTTGGCTTTCGTAAAGAGAGAGAGCGAAGCGGCAGGACGGGAGGAGGTCGGAGTAGTTTTGTAGGAACTGGAAGCAGAGCAAATAGAGGAGAAAAAGAGCGAGGAAGTAGAGGAGATGGAGATGGAGTCACGCGTAGCAGCGTAGCAGACGGACGATCGTCATACCCAATGACCTAGTTTGTTCGTTGTGTCAATTAAGTAAGCAGTCTTCGTGTGAGACTCACTCAAGGCATCGCTGACCTGCAGCTGACAGCTGGATACGTGCTCGTGGAAGGCCAGGCGGTGGTTGTCCTTCCTATATTCTCGGGAACAGCTTCAAAGCGACATCAACGAAGCGGTGAACAATCCTTAACCCCTAAAGCCGAAAAATCTCGAAACAAAGAGCACCAGCCGATAAACCGGACCCGATGATTGAAGACCCCCGCGCATTGAGGTAAGGGCATCCTCGAGATCGGAACAGAGAGCCAGCCGATGTCTAACCTGGCCACCATCAACTTGACTGACGCGCAGGCTCTCGGCAAGCCTGTAGCTCATGGGCCTTCGTTCTTCTTAAAGTCTTAGCTTGAGCTCGCCCACTTCGAGTTAAAGTTTATACGCAAAAGCCAAAGGCGATCATCCTTGCTGCAGACGACACCTACAGTAGGCCGTTTTCCTTTCGCTCCAAGAAGCTCGGAACCCAACAGGCGTCCCCGCACCCAACGCTTGGGAGCCGCTTCCTTGCCGGCCAAGACAAGGTGTGGCCTGCCGGGTTGAGTTCAGGGTTAAAGTTTGTTAAAGTCTCTCAGGGCCATTTATAACGTCTTAGAAGGGTTTCATTTCAGGGTTTTGTAGGGCTCCTCGTAGGGTTCTGGACCTACGGTACGTTTCTGTTTCGGGGCTCTGGAGGTTCCCAAACCAAACTGCTCCAAATACTCTGAATTTCCCAGACCCTGAATCCCTAAACATAGGGAACAAAATTTCCTTGGGGCTTCTTCATGAGCAATCTAGGTGATTCGTGCTTTTTCCTGCAGTGTAGGGTTTCGGTGTTTGAGGTCGCCGGGCCCCTTGGCAGATGGGTGGCAGGTTCCATTATACTTTGCGTAGTTATTCAAGGGCGTCTGCGCCACTTGCTTCAGCTACGGATCGCTATTCATTTTGAAGGAGAGAAGCATCCGAAGGTGGGCATCGACAGGAGCTTCCGCGACATAGCAAGGTTCGAGTTGTTGCTCAGCGTCATGCCGATCCTGAAACGCCAGTAGTCACTCCCGGTTTGGTTTGGCACTTGGATCTAAGGCATCTCCTCAAGCCTTTTTTCGGAGGAATCCGCTGTTTGCAGAAGGAAGACAGTCACCCTTCGGGATTCTAGAACTAGTAATAGTCTGTTTTGTGCAAGAGAAAATGCGGCTGTCGAAGAGACTAGGTAAGATCGAGACTAGCGAGCCTGTCGCGACCGGAGGCAGAGATCCGGATGCACGGCCGGCCTCTCGGCACCTGGACTTTGCTGGCAAGGGATGTGGCAGAGGGTGAGTCCGAGATAGAGCTGAAGGAGGACAGTCACTCGTCGAGGGGATATGGGTTTAGGCCGTAGAATAGAACTCTCAAGGAGTTATGGCTTAGGGTCGGAATCTTGCAGGCTTACAGGTGCCGTTGCGGAGTTAGTGAGTTTAGGGTTCATTTCCATACGTCCTCAACCCCCACCCTCGATCATGAAGGCATGTCGACGATGGAACGAAAATTGTTCAGTGCCGGCAGTTAATGTACCCAATTGTGAGAGTATGCTAGACCCTGCACACCTACAGCCCGCACCGCAATCAGGGCAGGTTCAGCAGGAAGCCTCAATGATTTGGCAGGCGACGCGGGCTTTGCGTTCTGAGGGTTCTTGTGTGGAGCTTGGGCTTGGGAATAAGATATCAAAGAAAATACAACTCGGAGGCTACGAGAACGTAGCTACACCATGACCTTCCCTGCCAAGTCCCTGTCTCAAAGCCTGATGCCCAAAATTGACGAACCCATCAGTCTGAGCCTTTAGGTACTCTGGAATTCAATGCCCTGGACTCCAAGAAACCACTTCTCATTCTCCTTCGCCAGGACCCCCGAACACTGTCCTGGCGGATAGGCGACGTGATCGGAATTGCGACGACAAATCGTGGCCGAACGTGACTTAGCCAGTGCTGATTGTGAGCATGCCAAGCAAGGATGCCCTGCCTACTCCAAGCACTAATGATAGCAGTAGTAGCAGCAGGTGTCAGCAGTTCTACTAGTGCTAAATTTGGACTACAAGACGACCATCATCATTTCTGTTTTGCTGCTGCTGCCGCTGCTCAACTGCTGCTGCTTGTACCGTTACTGCTACTGCTACTGCGACTGCCGCTGCCACTGCCACTGCCACTGCTGCTACTACTAGCACCACTACTACCACTACTACTACCACTACCATTATGTTACTACTACCACTGCTGCTACTACTACTACGACGACGACGACTACTACTACTACTACTACTACTACTACTCCTGCTGCTGCTACTACTTCCACTTCTACTTCTACGTACTTCTACTTCTACTTCTTCTACTACTACTTCTACTGTTGCTGCTGCTGCTACTACTACTACTACTACTACTGCTACTGCTACTACTACTGCTGCTACTACTACTACTACTACTACTACTCCTACTCCTACTCCTATTCCTACTGATAATCCTACTCCTACTCCTACCACTACTAACACTACTACCACTACTACCACCACTACCACTACTACCTACTACCTACTACCTACTACCTACTACCTACTACCTACTACTACCCACTACTACCCACTACTTCTACTACTACTACTACTACTACTACTACTATCTACTACGACCTACTACTACCTACTACTACCTACTGCTACTTACTACCTACAACCTAATACTACTACTACTACTACTACTACTACCACTACTACTACCACGACTACTACCACTACTACTACTACCGCTACTACTACTACTACTACTACTACTACTACTACTACTGCTACCACTACTACTACTGCTACTACCATTACTACTACTGCTGCTACTACTACTACTACTACTATTACTACTGCTACTGCTACTGGTACTACTGCTACTGCTACTGCTAGTGCTACTGCTACTGCTACTGCTACTGGTACTAGTGCTGCTACGGCTACTGCTACTGCTACTGCTGCTGCTACTACTACTACTACTACTACTAGTACGACTGCTGGTACTACTACTACTACTACTACTACTACTACTACCACTACTACTACCACGACTACTACCACTACTACTACTACCGCTACTACTACTACTACTACTACTACTACTGCTACTGCTACTGCTACTGC